TTTATGTCTAAATTGAGAGTACATTTGAAAATCAAAATTCACAGGCACGTCTTCTAGTGAGCTGGCTGATGTGAAAGGGTTATGATTATGCCTAATTTTTACCCTCTACATCACGATCTCATTTATTATGTTTCTCAGCTTGCTAAGGGTTTTGTGAGGTGATTTTTGAAATGAATATTGCTATTTGCAGGAATTCCTGAATAGGAATATTTCCAGAGAAAATTGCACAGACCAAGCGATGTGCAGTCAATTTTCACTCCAGCATAAACAATGTATTAGAACAGAGCCCTTAAGGCTTTTCTAAAAATTTGGGTTTCATTACACAGCTACCTGCATTTCATCAATAAGCATGAAATGCCCAGCAGGCCAAAGTGAGGCTCACAGAGGGCATTACATATTTGTCTTACTGGTGTTCAGAATTTGAGTATAGAAAACAAATGACCTGGATGGAGTAACAGTAGGCTCTTTGTTTCAGAGGTAGCCATTGCCACCATGGCAAGACAAAAAGAATTACTTAAGTTGAGGAAATAGCAGCTTGTACATTGGCTTCCTTTGCATTAACTTCTCAGATTTTAAGAAAGTATTTCTCTGTGTTAAAAAAAAAATTGGCATGTCCTCAAAACTGTTTGAAAAGTTTGTTTTGGGTTTCCAATAGTTTAAAATTAAGCAAAGTCCATTTCCCCCATCTCTCTCTCTCTCTCTCTCTCTCTCTCTCTCTCTCTCTCTCTCTCTCTCTCTCTCTCTCTCTCAATCCTCACTCAAGGTTATTTTCCATTGATTCTTAGGGAGAATAGGAAAGAGAGGGAAAGACAGAGAGACACATTGATGTGATAGAAACACACATCAATAGGTTGCATCCTACGGGAGCCATGAGCAGAGCCTGGGTTAGGAAGGAGCCTGAAACCAAGGTACCTACTCTTGACTAGAATCAAACCGGGACACTGTGGTCCGTAGGATGATACTCTATCCACTGAGCCAGGGCTTCCCATCTTTCTTTAACTAAAAAAAAAGTTTAATCTTTTTAAGCAGAGGGCTGTAGCTGGCTATACAGTCTAAATTCACATAGCTTAAAGCAGAGCTATGTGTAATCTCAACATTTTTAGACAGTGAATATAGATAGAAACTAGACAAAGGGAAATAAAGAACTAGGTAAGTTAATTATTCATATAGGTCACAACTTCTGATTACAAGCTAGGAGTATGAGAATTATGGAGGGAATCTCTCCAGTCATTCTATATACAATTTAAAAAATCTTATTAGGGGTGTGTGTGTGTGTGTGAGTGTGTGTGTGTGTGTGTGTGTGTGTGTGTGTGTGTGTAACACAGCTGTAAGTAGAAGAACCAGCTAAAGGGAAATTTTTGAAATCTGCACTCCAGATATAAAAAAACTCAGAATATGCACAGAGGACTGAAGCCAAGGAGTTCTACTGCCATAAAAAAGAAGCTGCTTCTCCCCTCAGTTAGTAAGACAAAGCTGAGGGAGACAAATATCAGGATTTTTTGAAACTACACAGAGCATCAAGAGTGGTGACTTGGAGCTTTGATAAAGGAAAGTGATTAACAGAGCTGAGAGTGGCTTTTATTCCAAACTGCAGCGACCTATTGGCAGGAACCTATGGGCCATAGACAAACAAAGGCCCAATGCATGTTTTCAATGTTTGTGAATCATTCTGGTAGCACAGACTGGGACCAAAGTAATTTTGGTTGAGTCAACAACATCCATTTGTTGTTGTAGTTTGTCAACTTTTAAACATATTTAGCATGCAGAGATAGCTAAGAATATATATTTTTCATCATATAATGAAGAAGCACATTTTAACTGAAGATTATTTTAGAAAGTAAAGAAACGTGCTTTTATCTGTGAGTTACAAAAAGCTCTTCCTAATTGGGGACAAAGAATTTATGGTCTTTCCTCTTTGCAACACTAAATCAAGGAACATTTAAAAATAAACTGGAAAAAAAGATGAAGACACACTTCCAAGCTCTTTCTATGAAGCCAGCATTACCCTAATCCTAAAACCAGATAAAGACACTACAAAGAAAGAGAATTACAGGCCAATATCCCTGATGAACAAAGATGCTAAAATCTTCAAAAGAATTCTAGCAAATCGGATCCAGCATTACATTAGAAAGATCATACACCACAACCAAGTGGGATTTATTCTGGGGATGCAAGGATGGTATAATATCTGCAAATCAATAAATGTGATATATCACATAAATAATTTGAGAGACAAAAATCACATACTCATATCAATTGATGCAGAAAAAGCATTTGACAAAATCTAACACCCTTTCTTGATAAAAACCCTCAGCAAGTGGGAATTGAGGGACCATACCTCAACACATTAAAAGCCATATATGACAAACCTACAGCCAACATCATAAAACTTAAAACCATTTCCCCTAAGAAAAGGAAGAAAACAGGGATACCCACTCTCACCACTGCTGTTTGACATAATATGGGAAGCGCTTGCCATCATGATTAGACAAGAAGAAATAAGAGGCATCCAAAATGGAAAAGAAGAAGTAAAACTGTCATTATTCACAGATGACATGGTATTGTACATAAAAAAACACCCTATAGACTTGATAAAAAGTCTACTAGACTTAATAAATGAATTTGGCAATGAAGCAGGATACAAAATTAACACCCAGAAATGTATAGCTTTTTTATACACCAATAACGAACTCACAGAAAGAGAAAAGAAAAAAGACAATCCCATTTACCAATGCAACCAAAAAATTAAGATACTTAGGAATAAACTTAATCAAGGAGTTAAAGAACCTGTACTAAGAAAATCATGGGACACTATAAAAAGATAGAGGAGGACATACACAAATGGAAGAGTATACCATATTCATTAGGATTTGTAGAATCAACATCATTAAAATGTCCATACTACCCAAAGCAATCTATAGATTCAATGCAATCTCCATTAAAATACCAACAGCATATTCCAGAGACCTAGAACGAACTCTCCAAAAATTCATATGGAATTAAAAAAAAAAAGACTGAATAGCTGCAACAATTCTGAGGAAGAAGAACAAAGTTGGAGGGATCACAATACCAGATATCAAGATATATTACAAAGCTACTGTTCTCAAAACGGCCTGGTATTGGCACAAGACAGACATATAGACCAAGGGAACAGAACAGAGATCCCAGAAATCAACATAAGCCATTATGCTCAATCAATATTTGACAAAGGAGGCAAGAGCATACAATGGAGTGAAGATAGTCTCTTCAATAAATGGTGTTAAGAAAATTGGACAGATACATGCAAAAAAAATTAAACCACCACCAACTTACACCATACACAAAAATAAACAAAATGGATAAAAATACGTAAACATAAGATGGAAACTATAAAAATCTTAGAAGAATCCATAGGCAGCAAAATATCAGACATATCTCATAGGATTATCTTTACAGATACAGCTCCTAGGACAATGGAAACTAAGGAGAAAATTAACAAATTGTACTACACCAAAATAAAAAGCTACTGCATAGCAAAAGGGATGTCCATTGGGTAGTCGGACATCCCTTGAGTGGTCCCAGATTGGAGAGGGTGCAGGCTAGGCTGAGGGACACCTCCTCCGCCATGTACAAATTTCATGCACCAGGCCCCTCTAGCTAATAAATAAGAGGGATAAGAAAGATAAGAAGATGCTTTCACCAAAACTGGTTTGGCTCAATGGATAGAGCATCGGCCTGCAGACTAAAAGGTCCCAGGTTTGATTCCAGTCAAGGGCATGTGGTTGCAGGCACATCCCCAGTAGGGGGTGTGCAAGAGGTAGCTGATCAATGATTCTCTCTCATCAATGTTTCTAACTCTCTATCCCTCTCTTTTCCTCTCTGTAAAAAAAAAAATCAATAAAATATATTAAAAAAGAAGAAGAAGAAGAAGAAGAAGAAGAAGAAGAAGAAGAAGAAGAAGAAGAAGAAGAAGAAGAAGCAGCAGCAGCAGCAGCAGCAGCAGCTCCCTGCATTCAAAGAACAGCTTGATGAGATAGTCAGGTCTCTAAAATTTATGTGCAAATCAACATACAAAGGTTATTGGAGATACAGAAGTTTATAAGAAATCTGAAAAGGGTTGTTTTAGTCTACTTGAGAGTATAGAAGAAAGCTTCAAGAAGCAATGATACTGAAATGATTCTTGAAAGATAGAATAAAATTAATCATGAAAAAAGAAAGGAGTCATTTAAAGAAGACAGAAAATCAAAAAGAAAGAGATGGCATCAAGCTACATGCATGTAAAGATACAATATAATGTGTTGTGGGTAGGCTATAAGAAAAGGTTTTTGGCAGAATAAGAGGAGAGAAAGGTAAATTGGAGTCAGCCTAAGAGGGCTTTATATAAAGTCTACTGAAGAGACTATACTTTATATTTGTAGGTACCTAATCTCCTAAATGACTTCAGATATTGATAAGAATTCTACAAACATACTAAGTGCAATTAAAACAGGAATGGAAGATGGATTGTGCTCTCACCAATATGGCTCCGTTGGTTAAGGATCATCCCATGCACTGAGGGGTCACCAGTTCGATTCCTGGTCTGGGCATATACCCAAGTTGCAGGTTCAATCCTCAGTTGGGATGTGTTTATGAGAAGCAACCAATCGATCATCAATGTTTCTCTCTCTCTCTCTCTCTCTCTCTCTCTCTCTCTTTCCCTCTCTCTCTCTCACTCACTTTCCCTCTCCCTCTTCCTCACCCTCTCTCCATCCCTCCCTTCTTCCCCTTCTTCTTCTCTCTCTAAGATAAATAAAAACATATTAAAAAAGAAAATAGATTGTAGTAGTAAATATGATGAAGGCATTCTAATGATAGAAATTTAATTAATATATTAGTGCTAGTAAATGCTGCAAACAAACAGAAAATGTGAGTCAAATAATAATAACCGACATTATAACAACAATGATAATTAATGATTATAACAATTAGTTCATTGTTATTGCCATTCTTTTGGAAAACTATTTAAAGCAACGAGTCCCTACCTTAATATCAAATGGTCCTCTTTGAGTTGGTTGATTGAGAATTTCCAACTGATTCCTAATGGGAGACAGCCACAGAAGCAGATGATTTAATTGTTCTTCAAGTTGTCCAAGATCTTTTATGTTAGCCTCAAGTTCTCCTTGTTTTGTAGGTAAGTCTCTAGAAACCTGCAAGAAAACAAAAGAAAAATATTCTCATGATTTAAATAAAAAATGAAAATGAAATATTTTAAAAAATTATTTGTTATAAAATGTTATATAAATTTAATGTATTTGGTATTTTAAGAGCATGATATTGATTACTTACATGGGTTACCTGTTAGGATTTAATTTGTGTATTACAAATAATTGATTAATAATCTTTTCAAAAATGTCTATGCTTAAAAATTATATACATTATTTAGAAAATTGATAACACATACCCACATAAAAATCTAACTCCAGCAAATAAAATTAAAGGAGTGTATTCTTCACTTAACCACTCACTTATTAAAAATAATGGTGTATTATGTATTATAAATCAGACACTCTACCTTTGCACTTGCATTTTTGTGAGTGATAGTGAGCTTTAGTATAAACAAATAAAACAGAATCAGAAGATTAGAATAAGAAGTAAAGAAATCATTTGGATTAGAATAGAACCTGGAAAATTATTATAGGTTATGTTTATTAAGAGCTAACTATGTATCAAACACCATGGTTGGATGTTTCACATAAATTGTCTTGTTTAATTGTCTTCATCTGGAATTTCAGCCTTAATTATATGGTCAATGTCATCTTCTGTTCATAATTTGAATTCACTATCTGATATTAATAATATATGAGCATGAGGCAGTCCGCATTTCTGAAATTCAATTACATGAATTTTAGCTATTACTTTGCCAAATAAATGGAATCTATGCTAATAAAAGGGCAATATGCTAATTAGACCAGATAGACAGACGATATGTCTTCTAGACATCCATCTGGATAAAGCCATGGTGGCATGACCAAGGCAGAGGTGGTTAGGGGCAATCAGGCCAGAGGGAGAGAGGGGTTAGGGGTGATCTGGCTGTCAGGGGAGCAGTTAGGGACATCAGGCAGGCAGGCAGGTGAGTGGTTAGGAGCCAGCAGTCACAGATTGTGACAGGGATATCTAAATGCTGGTTTAGGCCCATTGGAAATCCCCCAAGGTGTCCCTGATTGGAGAGGGTGGAGGCCAGGCTCAGGGACACCCCCCCCCATGCACAAATTTTGTGCACCAGGCCTATAGTAAAATATAATATTAAAAAAGGTATCTATAATATATATATAAAATCTCAGAGACCAAACAGTGGAATGATGGAATGACCAATCACTATGATGTGCACTGAGGTGGCCAACTGGCTTGATCCAGATCCCAATTAGCCCCCACCAACCTCCTGCAGCTCCTCTCTCCAGTTGGCCGCTGCCCCTCCCTCCCAGCCAGCCTGGCCTGTGGCCCCTTCCTCTGGCCGGCCAACCTTCTGGGTCCTCCCTCAGACCAGCCCCCTGATAGGCCTCGATCCCTGGCCAGGCTTAGGGAACCCACCTGTGCACAAATTCATGCACTGGGCCTCTAGTTTACATATATCATTTAAAAGAGCATTCAGCTTAATATTAAAATTCTATCAAGTCAGATCTGTTTTCAACTTTTTGTCAGCATTGTAAATTGTTTGTAATATCTGCCCATTTGGGGTTGAATGTCATGGTTATGAATAAATTTGGCCTGCCATACTTTGTTACAATTGTCATAGCATCCTGATATCGCTGTTGTATATTTCTGGGACTACCATCAAAAGTTGATGGAAGTATTATCATTTTACCAATCAGCATAGTGTCATTTTCAGATCTAAATATGAAATAATCCATTAAACCACTATATTATTCAACTCTCAACTTAGGTTGGTTTGTTTTAATGAAATTTATCTGATTGGCCTCAATTTTTAAAATGAATCCACAATAAACTGTTAGTTAATTTTCCTGCATTTAAAATAGGATTGAACATGTCCTACAGAAAGATGAAATCTATAATACTGCATTTGTGTGATTCATATCCTTACATTTTGCCTAGTATTATTGTTGAATACACTGTTTTTTTCTGAGTCTTAATGCAATATCTGTTCCCCAGCCTTTTTTACCACGTGGAAAAAGAATAGGATATGTCATTTCATCTAATGTAGCAAAGAGGATACTGATTTGTTTCATTTTAGTGGCATTCAGATTATTGGGATCTGGTTTACAGTGAATGAGCAAGTCCCTTTGAAAAGGAGGTTCTCCATCTTCGTTACTGAATATGACAGCAACCTTGGTTACATGGGAAGAATTATATCTACCTGGGTCACTGTTATGATCATATTTAATAGCCATTGTTACTTTCATGGGAGCAATACCTATTGCTGCTCCTTCGGATTGGGCTTCCTTTTTCTATCTCATGTAGCATCTTGTACGATTTTGTTAATTCATTTATTTCATTCATAGGGTTGTTGATATTGATCATGAGTCTTTCTGAGTAGCTCTGGTTTTCTGGCATTGCTAATCTTTTACTTGTTACTTCAGCTGTATATAAAATATAGAGTTGAGCAAACCTCTGAGAAATACCATCTGAAGAATGTAGTTCCATTATGGTGATAAACTTGTCCATGTATGCTAAAATAATATGCCCCATATCCTGATGGTGATGAAATATTTGCATCCATTGAAGCAAAAGTAAAAGAACTATTTATGGAATTAATATTTTCCATGAAATATTTACTGTCAGAATCTTCATTTGTCATTAATCTTTTTAAATATGCTGGGTATTCTGGAAAATGTATATCATTTGGACAAACTTTACCTTTGCTACAACATTAAGTAAATTTTCCGTCAGATGGTTTTCATCAGAGAAATTTAGTGATAGGCAAAATTGACATCTAATGGTCATTCCACCACAACTATGTTTGAGAATTGCATCCTCAAGTACTCTATTTTTGCAGAGAAGGCAGTTCCTACCAGTATTGGTAGTATGTGTTGATGAATGTTCTTTAGAAATATTCTGTTGTTGCTGTTGCCTTCTTTCAACTTCAGAGGTACATTGTTCTTTAGATATTTTCTGTAGATGATGTCAGCTTCTTTCCGCTTCATAGCTACATTGCTCTTCAGATACATTCTCTTGCCAACACCTCCTTCTTTTAGCTTCAGAGGCATGTGGGTCTTCAGACATTTTCTGTCAATGACACTGGCTTCTTTTGATTTCAGAGCTAAAGTGTGTCAATAGTTGTTCTTTAGACATATTCCCACCTCCCATTGTCAGGGTCTGGAATGCAGGTGAATGAGAATCCTGGCTGTCAGGCCGCTGAGAGCTAGCTCACAAATGGCTGATTCTGACTAATTGTGTGGGGGATGGGACTCTCTCCTCCCTGCTGTCAGTGTCTGGGCCAGTGCCCATGCCCATGGGGACACAGCGTCAAGTCCTCCTTGACACAGAGTCAAGTCCCTGCCCACTTGTGTGTGCCTCAAAATTTCACAAGATCCAGACCTGCCTGTGCCCACACAGACAGATGCAGCATCAAGCCTCCAAGAGTTGCGGGACCCTCTGTGGAGCTGCCCCTATGGTGCAAGGGGCAGTAGCCAGGAACCCCCCTGGGGGGTGCTGAGGGAACTATAGCAGTAGGTGTGTGGAGCAGCTTCTAGACATCCCAACACCCCATGCAGCCACGGGAACTGCAGCGGCAGGTGCAAGGAGCAGCTGGTCTTCTTGCACGGGAACTGCAAGAAGGCAGGTGCCATCTTGTGACAGTGTTATAGTGTGAGGGTTAATTTGCATATTACCTCTTTATTATAAAATACTAGAGGTCCAGTACATGAAATTTGTGCACAGGTAGGATTCCTAGGCCTGGTCAATGATCAGGCCCAATTTGTGGGGCATCTGGTGGGGCGATCAGGGTGCCCCCACTGGCACCTGCCTTGGTCAGCCTAGTATTGCCCACTCGCTGGCCCTGCCCCCAAACAATGCCAGTTGCCTCCTTCTATGGAGTGATGAGGGGCCCCTGCTGGCACCTGCCTTGGCTTGCCTGGGGCTTGCAGGCCGGGGGAAGCTCCTTCATTAAGCATCTACCCCCTGGTAGTCAGTGCAAATCATAGCGACCAGTCATTCCATAGGTTATTCTGCCATTCAGTTGATTTGCATATTGGGCATTTATTATATAGGACTAGAGGCCTGGTGCATGGATTTATGCACTGGTGGGGTCCCTTGGCCTGGCCTACAGAGACTGGGCCAAAACTATCTCTCTGAAATCCCATGAGGTGTCCAGGATTGTGAGTGCAGTTTTCAGGTGACACACCCCAAAATAGGGCTCCCTCTTCTCTGGTTCTGGGTATATCACCCAAGAACCACAGCTCAGCAGTTCCTACTTTGAGTGTCTGCCTCCTGGTGGTAATTGCACATCATAGCTACCAGTCAGATGTTTGGACAGTTGGACAGTCGCTTAGGCTTTTGTCTATCTAATAAAAGAGTAACATGCAAATTAACTACCACTCTGCTATGCCCACAAGTCATTCCCATCAGCCAATCAGGAGCAGTACGCAAATTAACCCATCCAAGATGGCTGCAGCCTCGAAGAGAGCAGAAGGCTTGGGTTTCCCCAGCAATGGAGGAAGCCAAGCTTTCCACATACCCTGGTAGGACCAGGCCTCCACTCAAGGCTACAAAGATTCAATTATAGAAGATAAATAAATCTCAACAAAAATGGCTATAGCAATGGAGCAAGCAGAAGGCTTGGCTCTGCTCAAGGCTACAAAGTTTCAATCATAGAAGATAAATAAATCCCAGATACCAGGGACTTCACTTGGGTTGTTGTGGGGCATGGCTGGCCTGAAAACCACCACAGGCCACAAGCCCAGGACACCCACACCCCAAGGGAATCATCCTGATTTGGGACACCCTTCAGGACAAACCAGCTGGCCACCGCCCATCCAACAGGCCTCTATCCTATCTAATAAAAGAGTAATATGCAAATTGACCATCACTTCAACACACAAGATGGCTTCCCCCATGTGGTCAAAGATAGATGCCCCCAAGTAGACACAAGATGGTCAGCAGGGGAGGGCACTTGGGAGGGACCAAGCCTGCAAGGGAGGGCAGTTGGGGGTGATCAAGACTGGAGGGGAGGGCAGTTAGGGGAAAATAGGCT